AAGAGAGTTAACTCAACATATCTAAAGAAGGAGCTAATACAAAGTACAGCGAAATCTCAGGTTTGTTTATTTTCATTAAGAACATAGCAATGGACATGTTAACTCTTTTCAGGTAACTTGCTATTTTGAGAAACACCCCAGTTTGAATACAGCCTGTGATGGTTTCTGTGATCTATTAGCAATGTCTGCCATGGAAACATGAGGGGCTGACTTCACAAAAATAACATTCCTAGTCTAGATAAATCAAGTTCACTGAAACAAAAATCTCTTCAAGTGTTTGCTATCTTTTCTCTATCAATTTGACCAAACTTCACTGAAAGAATAGAGAAGCCCAAGAGTGGTCAAGGATGTTCTGACCGGAGAAAATTCTGGTCCCTGGCCACATATGAGCTCAGTTTTTCAAGTCTCCTAATAGGAACCTTATGGCTGAGACAGCTGGGAGTCAGCAGGTCTTCTTTGAGCAGCTGTTTGCAGTAACCTGTAGTTGTCATGAGAACCAGGCTCTGGGGGACACTGGCCTGATAGATTTATTAGGCAGAGGTAAAAGACGTCCTTTTGTCACTAAATCTTATGGGGTCATATGACCACAGATTTAGGAAATAATTGAAAACATTTTAGGGCTTGGTGATTACAGGACCAGACAATCCTAATAGACCTCATCCCATGATATCAGTTCTCAGTGTGCTCCTAGGAAAAGTTCTTATCACTTTAGCAGCCTGGATCCCTGGGAAACAAGAAGCGAGGGCTAGAGGTGAAATGGACCTCATGGTGTGCCTCTTCTCTGGTTTCTGTGACCTTCAGGGCTTTCTGGTCCCTTGTCTTTCTGACTGGAAGGGACTTTGGAGTTCAGCCCTTTTATGTAATCAATGAGGCCCAGAGTAAAGATGACATTTGTCCAGGGTCACACAGCAAGTAGGTGGCAAAGCTAAGATGGAAATCCTGGACTCCTGGCTTCCAAGAAGTGTCTTGTCTCCTTTACACTTTGATGTTCTGCACACTTGCTAATGCTTAAGAGGCACAGCAAATTTACCAAAATTACTACTCTGTGTAAAACTTTTACATGGCATCTGGGAGAAAGAATAAACTCTTAAACAGAACTCACAAGAGCCTTCCTTGCTAAATAATCCAGTCTTCTTCTTCTTGTTTTCCCTCTCACCTTGAAATCTCTTTTCCAATAAGACTTGTATTTCCTGATGAAAGTGTATTCCCTTAACCCACCCTCTCTCATCTTAGCACTGGTTATTCCTTCTGATGAGAAGACCCTCCTCCTTCCACCTGGAGGACCCTTGTTCATTCTTTGATTCTAGGCATAAACTTATCTTTCTTGCCCAGAGATTGTTCCTTGAGCTCTAGGTCTGGATTAATTTATCCAGCTATTTTGTATCTGGAACCTTGTCATCCCAGGTGTGCGTTTTGGGAGGAGCACATTGGCATTACCTGAGAGCTTGTTAAAAATGAAGAATCTCATATTTTTAAAAAAAGAAAGAAAAATTTTAAAAATGCAGAATCTCAGGCTCATCCCAAACTATTGAGTCAATTTGAATTTTAACAAGGCCCTTTGGTGAGTCTCAGGCATAGTAGAGTTTGAGATGCACTGCTCTAAAACACCCTTCCATCCAAATATGTCCTGTGACATGTACAACTGCAACTGCCTGCTGACCAGTCTTTTTCTCCCTAGAGGCCAAGCCTTGTAAAGGCAGGATCTGTCTTCTTCACTCTCTTATTTCCAGACCCAGCACATGGCCTGGCACATAACTAGCACATTGACTGAATCAACAAAGCTATCAAGTAATGAAGTGAATTCTCTTCAAGTCTTAATATTTGCAAGGACATTGAAGCTTTTAGAATGTTAGAATATCTAAGAGTTCACGGAATTCTATTGTTTCCAACTGTAAGCTAGAGATCTTTGAAAGTTCAGAGAGGTCAGGCTCGGTGGCTCAGCCTGTAATCCCAGCACTTTGAGAGGCTGAGGCGAGTGGATTGCCTGAGCCCACGGGTTCGAGACCAGTTTGGGCAACCTAGCAAGACCGCATCTCTGCAATAAATAGAAAATTGGCCAGGCATAGTGGCATGTGCCTGTAGCTCTGGCTACTTGGAAGGCTGAGGCGGAAGGATCACCAGAACCCAGCAGGTCAATGCTGGGGTGACTGTGAGTGTGCCACTGCACTCCACACAGACACATACCACTAGTTCATCCTCATTATCTTATAGATGAGGAGACTAAGGGTCAGAAAGGTGCAGAGCCCATGGTTGCACAGTGAGGTGATTAGCAGTGCCAGGATGGACTAGGATGCAGCTCCTTTGATTCCTGCTGACATGCCAGTGTGAAGTGTTGGAGCAATCTCAGATCCCTTCCAGGAGACTAGAAAAATCAGCAAAGGAGGAAGCTTGGGTGATATGTGTGGGGGGTGCCAGACAGTGGCTGGTGACTGGCTTACTGGGGGTGAGCAGGTTATCACAGTCCATTACTGAGTGGGTTGCCCTGCTTCTGTGGACATCCAGGCAGCCTTTCCAGAACAGAAGATTTATGTCCTTGAGGGTCATAAAGGATCCCAGCGGGTTGTAAAGACAAAGTTAGGAGTAAAGCTCTGGTTTAGCTTCCACTCAAACTCCCTGAGCCCTGTGGGAAAGCCTGATAAAGTGGGATACCTTTCTCTGTCCCTGGACAAGATGGCAGCCGAGATGACTCAACACAGCAGCTTTCATCTGGGGCTCTGTACTTGTGCCTGTCAGTCTGCCCTGCTTTACCTTTTATCTAAAGAATCTTCCTGTCACGTGAAAGGAAGAAAGTTAAAGTCCAGAACCCAACAGAACTGATAAGGCTCGCCCAGGGAAGTATCCCTTTTATCCCTTGACCAAGCTTTCATCTTGTTCCTTGAGGGCCTCAAATTCTTCGAGGCCAAGTGTTGTAAGGGCTCAGGGTGAGAGCTCAAGGCAGAACCAGTCTTTACATCAAGCTCTGTGTAACTCTCAGCACCTCATTTAACCCCACAGGGACTTCACTTATTACAAGGTGAATAGAATATAGAGGACACTAACTGTGCATACTTAAATTGTAGTGAGGAAAAAAGATAATACATAAGTAAACATATAAGCAATGTAAGATACTAAAATTAGTATCATCAAAAAATGGCAAGAATACCGTACATGGGTATTTTGAAGGTTTTTAAAGTATGAAGAGCTACCCACTAGGTATTTCAGGAAGCCATGTAATTCTCTTCAACGCACCAATGCTACCTTGGCCTAGATTACCACACTGTCTCCCTGGGACAATTATCACAACAACCTCTGGGCTATCATTGCTTCCTTCTTACCTTGACCACTCTACCCCATGCCAGAGGGATCTTTCCCTCTTGAAGGTCTGAAAAGTTTGTCATTACCCTAGAGAAGACACAACTTAAAGGGCATCCAGCCTCTGCTGACCTCCGCTTCTTGTCACTTATCACTCCTGCTATCATGTACCTTCCTTCAACTATTGGGAAATTCTTCAGTTCCTCCAAACACAGTTTTTACCAAAATGTAGGCCAAGTGTCTCTGAGGTGGGGAAAAGATTTTAGGAGGTAAAATCTTTAGGAGGTAAAATTGGGTCTCAAGGTGATCACAGACCCAATATTAAACAACAACTAATCACACTTACAAAGTGATTGGATTACCTCTTTATAGTCGTTCCTCCTTTAGATTACTTCTTTTAAAAGTTGATTTGGGGTTGTGTCTTTAACATTTCTCTGGCTAATCTCTCCTTCAAAGAGCCAGCCTTAGACTCTGCTAGGATTGAACAGCATGTTTTCTGGGTTTTTGTTCGTTTGTTTTTGTTCCATTGTATTAAATGTTTAGGCTTAATTTTCTATAAAGGGTAGATGGTATTGGTTTTCCCTTTACAAGATAATCTAGTGTTTTCCTTTCAAATATATTCTTAATAAGAAGTGAATTTAAGAAGTAAATATCAAGTAAATAAAGTATACATGGTATGATGAGATGACAAAAATCTTAAAGGTAGCAGGCAAATCACCAGAAATTGAGACGAAAACCCTGCTCTCAAGTAACATCATTTCCTCTGAGCATTTCCTAGACTAGTCCCTCTGCCCAAAACACTCTACTCTCTCCCCGTACTCATCTTACCCCAAATTTTAGGCCTCGGAGTCTCAACCCAGTGCAGCCTTCACTGGGATACCTAGACCAGATGCCTATGTCTTATGTTCCCAAAGGGTTATTTTCTTCTGCTCTCATGACATCTATCATTCCTGTTCTAGGTAACTGCTTGTTTAATCACCTGCAAAAGGAAACCAAGTAGACACATTTCTATCCTTTTACATTTCATTGTCAGCAACTACCATAGAAGAGGTGTTGTTAAGCATGTGCTGAATGAATGAATAAATGAATGAATGAATACTGTTGTTAGATACAAGATATGACATGCAACTACCACGTCATATACTACTTTATGACACTTTAGAAGGTAGTGGCCGTGTCTTAGTTCTATTTGAACCATTCGGGGGGTCCTAGCACAGTGAGTGATACAGTCACTACTAGGGAAAAGAATAATGCTTTAATGCATGTTGAATTAATTCATTTATTTTGTCAAGATCACTAATGAACTTTAGTCAAGACCATAGCTATTTACTCTAGAAAAAACTCAGTTTTCTTATGGAAGAGTCAGAGAGGCCCTGAATTATAGACCATGGACCTGCCACTGTGCCCCTCTGTGATGCTGGTTAGGACATAAACCTTCAAGGACCCTAAGTTTCCTATCTGTAGAACTGGAGGTGAGAGATGAGCAAGGATAATGATTGATTCATAATGACTGATGCCCCTTCCCTGTACGACATGGGGTACAAGTAGCTAAAATCCAAGATTCTTTCATTCCCTCTGCCCATTTTTCATCTTGAGCCCTGACATGACTAAGGCATTGGTCATCTTTATTGATTTGATAAACCATGTCCTCAGTCGATGACGAAAGGGCCCAAAAATTTGCCCCTCCACTCACACTCATATAGCCATACCTGGGCCCCAGCTCATCCTCACTCCTCCAGACAAAGTCACCAAACTTTTCATAGTGAGAGTTGTAGTGGTGCTGGACTCGGAACAGCATTGAGGCTGAGACCTCCATCAGCGTGTTGTAGGCAGTCTGCTGCTCCTTTCCACTTGTGTACCCATTGTACAGATTGTAGATCTTGTCAGCTATTTCTGAGAGGGAAGAAGGGCAGAAACATATCTCTGGGTAGTGGCAAAAAATAAGGATAGATGCAGGGATTGCACCAAGGAAGGCACAGCTGTGAGAGTTTACTTGCATAGTCTCCAGGGGCAGACAAACCTTAATTCTGTCCTGAATATGTCATTGACTAGTTGTGTTGGGTTTTCTTATCTATCAACTGGAAATAATAACGTCTACTCTGAAGGTGTACTAGGAGAACTAAACTTAAAAGTTGATGCAAAACATTCAACACAGGGTGTGGCATAAGTCAGTGCTCATAATTGCAAGCTTAACTATTAATATAATGACTGTGCCTGTGATTAAATATAATATTTTAAATAAGTGCAAAGGCATAAATAAACTGTCTTGGCTCATCTCCTCCTGTCTCCCTTCCCTTCTTCTGTCTCCCATCCCTCTGTAATATTTTTAGCACATTTATGTGATCAGATCTGATACATCCCCGTTCAAAACACTTTCAAAGAAAATCCAGACTCTTCTGTTTGTCATTCATGGCCATTTCTACTGCTTCAGTCACTCTTACTAATCAATGTAACTTAAGTGCTTCATGAGTATAAGGCACATTCTTTCAGTTTAGAAAACTCTGGTCAGAGTCTATAGGAATCCCCAAATCATTACTAACAATTGCCTTCAGAAGAATCTGGGGACTTAGGGTCAGGATGAAGAAAGCATTTACTTCGCACTATTTTCTACTCTGATTTTTAATTTTTATTATCTTTAACCCTGTGCATGTTCTATTTTAAAATGATAATTTTTTAAAATTACTAGAAAATATTTCAAATCCTTACCTTTGAGGCACAATAACTCACTGTTTCCCTTTGTCTGGCAACACATAAAGCCTTTAATATTGAACCATTTATGGAAATATCTGCCTCTCCACCCATAATGTGAACTCCTAAAAGGTGGAGACCATGTCTTCACTGTTCTGTTTGTATCAGAACTTTTGGGAAATAATGCCCAATTTGAAGCAGTCCACCAGGACTCAAGAACTACCATCGCATTTGGTTAGTGTTGATGTAGAAACTGCATCTACACATTGCCCAAAGAACTAAATACATTGGAGATCTGATTGATGAGTTTTAATTTTTCAAGTGTTTTTGCCTGATATTTACAACTTCGTGAACTAGAAGTACCAAAAAGATTTAACCTTGCATGCTAGCTTTGATCATCACTGACTGTAGCTCTGTGCTGAGGATTTTGAGGGCATCACTGGGCTGGGTGGGACAGCGTGCTGTGTTCTGCTGATGGTATCTGCAACAGGCACAAGGTGCAATGGTCTTCTAAGTGCCACTTGTTTGCCAGCTTTAACATATACTTAAGTGGAAGAAAATGATTGGTCCCTAAAAAACCTATACCAAGGGGAAGATACTTCTGACTCTCTACCATTCCTGGCCTGTAATTCAGAACAAGCATGGACTATAAATAAAAGAGGAGCAGGTCTTTCCTCTGGCAAACATACTGCTAGTCAACCTCAAATTTTTTTCTTCATGGCTTTGATTAATACAGTTCCATGTTCCTCTTGCTCCCTTAGTTCCTTCACTTTGCTTTCCTTGTGCCAATATGTATGTGTATGTGTATTTGATGATTAATGACCATTGGGTGCAGAATTTAGGGGAAATATGGGAGTTACCTGAGAGGTTAAAAAAAATGAGTCACCTACCTTCTGCCTTGTTGTCATCTACCAGTGGACAGGCTGTCCTCAGGGTTACCGTGCTGAGCTCTGAGTGCCTCCCTCGTGTATCCACAGCATACAGAGTGAACCTGTAGCACAGCAAGAAAACAGAGCACCAGGCTGTGACTTCACAAAAGGCCCTGGAAGTTGCAAGGAGGGACACAAAATCATGGCACGGAAGTAGTGGTCTAAAGAGCACAGGGATGCTTAGGCTGTAGGAGAAATGATTTGGGGGAGGGGAAATGTTAATTATAAAGCATTTATTGAGCATTGACTGCCTACTGGACACTTTGCACTGAAATCTCTTAAAATGCAATTAAGCAACTCTAAAAGGGAGGAATTTATTATCACCAACAACTCACTAGTGAGGACACTGAGATTTAGACTGTGTATCTTTCTATGGTCTCAGTTACGGAGGGACAGAACAGGGATTTGATCTAAACCAATCTGAGTCCAGGGTCTCAGAAGTAAGCCCCAATGCTATCCTGTATGGCAGGATCTATTCATTTATATATTCTTTCACTCATTCATTTAACAAATATTGGGCATTCACTATATGCCAAAACGATTTTAGGTGCTAAGGTTATAAAGGCTAACAATAGAGTCAAGGTCTCTGCTTGCATAAAGCTAATCAGGAAGTATACACACAAAAAATCAGATAATTGTGATAGGGATTATCACAGAATAACATGAAAAAGACTAATGTGGGGGCACAGGTATGTGTGCATTCGAGAGTAGTCCACGGAGGACTTCCTGGAGAGGAAAGGTTTGATCTGAGACCTGAATGATGAGAAACAGTTTATAGGAGAAAGACCTGGGGAATGAGCACTCCAGGCAGGGAGATCAGTGAGTACAAAGGACCTGAAAAGAGAAGGAGCCCAGACGGGTGGAGGGATAGGCAGCTGGTGTGGCCAGAACAAAGTGAGACAAGGTAGGTTGGTGGGAATCTTGTAGGCCATGACAGGGAGTTTGAGAGTTATTCTAGCTATTAGCCATGTCTCCAACTTTCTATGGTGTCATCTGAAGCCCCATGCTGTGTTGGTGAAAGTAGACTTTGTGACTACAGGCAGGAAGAACTAGTAAAACACAGACCTGGAGGACTCAGGTCTATTCCAGAGTACAAAATTCTTTCTAGAGCAGTATTTGTCCTCTGCCCTACATTGGAAAGGCTCTGTGACCCTCATATCCCCAGATCTCCAAGTTCTGTTGTTTAAACAAAGCCTAAGAAAGGAGCATAAAATACTTTCCAGAGGCTGTGAGCCTTGGAGGCCAGGGACAGCCTGAATAGAAGGGTTGAGCATCTTAGTGTCCTGTCTGTGTCGTGCCATTTTCTTTCACTAGCCTTTAAAGGTAGAGGCAGTCGTGAGGAGGATACAGGGTTACCCATGTTAAGCAGAGGAGACTGGAGTCCTAGTGGCCCTATTTCATTTCCTTCTTTCCCAGCATTTCTGCTTATCTCTTATTATAAAATGAGCATAACACTGATGGCCAGGTTTCAGAATGGTAAAGGTGACGCCTGATTAACTGTACATATTAGACAACAAATATGAGTTAGTTATACCAACTAATATGTGCTAAAACCTTAACAGGTATCAAACACTGAGTTAAACAGTTTTACCTAGTAATCACAATTAATTCCCCCCAAGCAATCCTAAAACAGGGGTATAATTACTGTCTTTATTTTATACATGAGGCTCAGAGAGGGAAAGCAGCTTGCTTAGAGTTACATAGTAATTGCTGGGACTGGCAGTGTAAGCCTTGGTTTGTCTGACTCCAAAGCCAATGCTTGTAATCACTGTCAGCTAGTGTCTTCTGACCACAGGTCTGTGGATATCAACTGTACAAGTCTGACTCCATTAGCCACAATTGCAGAACCCCAACTACATTGAGGCAGTGCCATCTCATATGTTTTTTCTGTTCTGATGAAAAGGTGCTAAAACAATCACCCTTATTATCTCCATCTTTCAGAAGAGGAAACTGCAGTTTTAAAAAATTAAGCAATATATCCAAAGTCATAGATTCAGAAAATGAAGGAGCAAAACCTATGGTCTGTCTTACTCCAAAGCATAGTCTGAACTGAGTAATCTACATGGGCCCTCCCAGCTTTGATACCCCATGACCCAATACCTCGAAGTTTGCTTTAATAAAAAGTACTATGAGTCAAAACTTCATGGTGAAGAAAGCAAGGGGTGAGGGAAGAAGGAGCCTACTCTTGAAGTTGGTCAGACTTGGGTTCACATTCTAGTTCTACTACCTTGCTCTGTGACACGGGGAAAATTGCTTCATGTCTCTGGGCTCACTTCACTTCTCTGCCCCTGGCATCTGTAACTGCCACTTCACTACACTTATAGTCTTGATGTTAAATGTACGTGCTCAGCCAGGCTCGATGGCTCAACCTGTAATCCCGCGCCTTTGGGAGGCTGAGGTGAGTGGATTGCCTGAGCCCGGGGGTTAGAGACATACCTGGGCAACTTGGCGAGACCTCATCTCTACAATAAATCAAAAGTTAGCCAGGCATGGTAGTGCACGCCTGTAGTTCCAGCTACTTGGAAGGCTGAGGTGGAAGGATCGCCGGAGCCCAGCAGATCGAGGCTGCGGTGGCTGGGAGCAGCCACTGCACTCCAGTCTGGGTGACAGAGTGAGACTCCAACTCAAAAATAAATAAATAAATAAATAAATAAATAAATACATAAATAAATAAATAAATAAAATGAATGTAAGGCTCTGTGAGGTGAGTTATCATTGGAAAGCCAAGCAGGGGGATCAGGAACAAGATCACAAAGAAACTCTGGGATGTAACAATAAGCAAGTAGCAATGTGGGGAGGTGAGAGAAGGATGAGGAAACATGGTGTGAGCACTTAGATTCACCTGCCAATCCATCTCAAAAGCAGCAGAGGCAGGATCTAAACTCTCGCCTGTAGGTCCCAGGGGGCAAGGACTTCAGTGTGGGCACAGCTCTATTTCTGTCACTTAACACTATGCTGGGTACATGGGAGGTGCTCCATAAGCATGTGAGTAAGTAAATGAATGAAACTGAGTATGCCCATCTCATTTCTCCATCAATAACCCAAAGATAATTTCACAGACAGTGCATGACTCATGGACTTCCTGGAGTGATACACGAGAAAGTGGTTTCTAAGTGGGAGGTTTTTTTAAAGACCAGATAGAGAGTGTTTGTGCAAGAGTATACATTTTTTTATACCATGCTCATGGATAGGAAAAATCAACATTGTTAAGATGTCCATCCTACCAAAGGCAATCTACAGATTCAACACAATACCCGTTAAGTTACCAACATCATTCTTCTCAGACCTGAAAATGACAATACAGAAATTCATATGGAAAAACAAACGACCACGAATAGCCAAAATAATCCTTAGGAAGAGAAACAAAGAAGGAGGTATACTTCCAGACTTCAAACTCTACTATAAGGCTACAGTAATCAAAACAGCCTGGTATTAGTATAAAAACAGGCACATAGACCAATGGAACAGGATAGAGATTCCGGAAGCAAAGCCTCAATTCCTCAACCAACTCATCTTTGACAAAGCCTCCAACAACAACTACTTGGGAGAGGAAAATCTATTCAGTAAATGGTGCTGGGAAAACTGGCTGACCACACGCAGAAGATTGCAACAGGACCCTTTCCTATCACCATTCACAAAAATTAACTCTAAATGGATCAAAGACCTAAACATAACACCTCAAACTATAAGAATCTTAGAATACGTGGGAGACACCCTTATGGAAATTGGAACCGGGAACCAATTCCTACTCAGAACCCTAAAGGCCAATACTTTAAGAAATAAGATAGATAATAAGTCCCACTTGGGACTTCATCAAATTAATGAGTTTCTGCAAAGCAAAAGAAACCATCAAGAGACCAGGGAGACAGCCCACAGAATGGGAAAAAATATTTGCTAACTGTATATCTGACAAAGTCCTAATATCTGTTATCTACAAGGAACTCAAATGCACTGAAGGGAAAAAACAAACAGCCCCTTTAAAAAGTGAGCTAAGTAATCTCTCACAGAAACAAAGATCTGAGTATCACATGTTCTCACTCATAAGTGGACCTTGAACAACTATCATAATACTATAAGAAAAGGATTGACAGTGGTGGGAAAATATGGGAGGGGGGAGGGAGGGGAAGGGAGGTGGGATTAACGGTAGTCAATATCTGTCTGGAGGTGGGGGACACACCTCATCAACAAGGGTACCTGCACAATGTATACCTAACCTTTAACTGTACCCCACAATTTTAAAATAAAAAATATGTTTAAAAAAAAATGTGGGCAAAAGACATGAATAGATACTTCTCAAAAGAAGATATAAGCCAACAAACACATAAAAAGGTGCTCAGCCTCACTCATCATCAGAGAAATGCAAATCAAAACCACACTGAGATACCACATAACCCCTGTAAGAATGGCCATCATTAATAAAACAAACAACAACAGATGCTGGCGAGGATGTGGAGAAAAAGAATTCTACACTGCTGGTGGGAATGCAAACCTGTACAACCTCTCTGGAAAACAGTCTGGAGATTTCTGAAAGAACTAGAAATTGACCTTCCACATAACCCAGCAATTCCCCTGTTGGGAATATACCTGGAGGAACCAAATTATTCTACAAAGAAGATACCTGCACATGTATGTTTGTTGCAGCTGTATTCACAATAGCAAAAACATGGAACCAACCATGTTGCCCATCAAAGCTGGACTGGATAAAAAAAATGTGGTACATAATACACAATGGAATATTATGCAGTCATAAAGAATGACAAATATATATATGGACTTTGCAGCAACCTGGATGAATGTGGAGTCAATCATACTCAGTGATTTATCACAGAAACAAAGAACAGAGTTCCATATTTTCTCACTCATAAGAGGACCTTGAATAATTAGAATGCTATAAGAAAGCGATTGGCAGTAATGGGAAACTGTTGGGGGTGGGGTAGGACTGGCAGCTGAGGGAAACTGCTATGGGAGAGAGGGGCATACCTCATTAACAGGGGTACCTGCATGATCAATGTTTATATACCTAACCCTGAATTGTACCCCACACTTTTTATAATAACATTTT